CAGAGCGGCTTACGGAGCCAGTTTGGTGTAGTGGTTAAGTGCGTGGACTTAACCGGATTCCGGGTTCCCCACTCCTCCACTTGCACCTGCTGGATGACCTTGGGCAAGCCATAGTTCTGTCAGAGCTGTTCTTGAAAAAGAGCAGTTTCTCTCACTCAGCCCCGCCTACCTCACGGGGTGTCTGCTGTGGGGAGGGGAAGGAGACTGTTAATCTGGGAGAACCGGGTTTGCTTCCCCACTCCTCCACTTGCACCTGGCTGGATGACCCTGGGCAAGCCGTAGTTCGGTCAGAGATGTTCTTGAAAAAGAGCAGTTTCTGTCAAGAGCTCTCTCAGCCCCACCTCCCTCACAGGGTGTCTGTTGTGGGGAGGGGAAGGGAAAGGAGTTTGTAAGCTGCTCTGAGACTCCTTTGGGTAGTGAAGGGCGGGGTGTAAATCCAATCTCTTCTTCTACCTCACAGGGTGTCTGTTGTGGGGAGGGGAAGGGAAAGGAATTTGTAAGCTGCTCCGAGACTCCCTCGGGTAGGGAAGGGCGGGGTATGAATCCAATCTCTTCTCCTCTTCTTCTTGGGCAGAGCCAGTTTGGTGCCATGGTTAAGTGCGCGGACTCTAATCTGGGAGAACCGGGTTTGATTCCCCACTCCTCCTCCACTTGCACCTGGCTGGATGACCTTGGGCAAGCCATGGTTCTGACAAGAGCTGTCCTTGAAAAAGAGCCGTTTCTGTCAGAGCTCTCTCAGCCCCACCTACCTCACAGGGTGTCTGTCTGTTGTGGGGAGGGGAAAGATTTTGTAAGCCGCTCTGAGACTCCTTTAGGTAGTGAAGGGCAGAGTATAAATCCAATCTCCTCCTCCCCCTCCTCCCCGAGCTAAGACAAAACTGTGTGAACCGGAGGCTAAAAAGCTGTGAGCTAGCTCACACTCACTCAGCTTGGAGGGAACATTGCCCCGGAGTGCACTCAGCCAGAAAAAAATGCATCCACCCCTGCTCGGGGCCGGCGGTCAGACCGAAAGGGCCAGGGCTGAGTCGAGCCCTCCTGAGTCCTGGCCTCCTGAACACAGCTCGGAGGGGGAGGGGGAACCCTCGCCCACGAATGACTCCCTCCCCTCTGTGTCTTCCCCCCCCATCCCAGGTGCTACGTCATCTCCACCTTGCCCAACCTGAAGTCCTTCGATTTCAGCACCATCACGAAGCTCGACCGCTCCACCGCTGCTGTCTGGCGCCGCATGAACATTAAGCCCAAGAAGGTCCGGAAGAGACGCGACGACTACTGACGGCCCCGTCCCTCCGCCACCCCCGCCGCGAGAAGGGGCTGCCGCCGCCCCTGGCCACCTCCCCCCCGCATCCTAGTTTAAGAATAGAGCAGTAGGATACACTTCGCACAGGAGGAGGCTCGCAGGGGAGAGAAGGCAAGACGACGACGTCGGACACGCTGGCCAGCTTGCTTGCCACGCCAACGTGCCAAGGGACGTCCCAGCACATGGCACGTCACCCAAGTACAGCCAAAAAGAAACACCCCGCCCTCATGTTCCCACGGGCAGAAAATGGAGAGGAAGAGCATGACTGGGTGGGGTGGGATGACAACGCATCCCGTTGAGCATCCCTTCTTGTATGGAGACCGCTGCGCCATGCCCCTCTTCAACAGCCGGGAGTCTTGCACACATACACACGTCCCTCCCCAGCCCTTGCAAAAGAGGAGAGGGTTTCTTCTGAGCGCCGCAGAGAGTTCCCAGGTTGTTCCGTTCCTCCTAAGCCCACGGGCACTGCCAAAAGGGAGCTCGCTACAGGAGCCAAAGGCTGTTTCCCCCCATCGAAGAAGATGGAGAGTAAGAGCATGACTGGGAGGGGTGGGACGAAAACGCACCCCGTCGAGCATCCCTTCTTGTGCGGAGACCGCCGTGCCGTGCCCCTCTTCAACAGCCGGGAGCCTCGCGCACAGACACCCAGCCCTTGCAAAAGAGGAGAGGGTTTCTTCCGAGCGCCGCCGAGAGTTCCCAGGTTGTTCCGTTCCTCCTAAGCCCACGGGCGCTGCCAAAAGGGAGCTCGCTACAGGAGCCAAATGCTGTTCCCCCCCCCCCATGGAAGGCGCCCGCCACTGCTGCCTCCCCAGGAGACACTTCCCAGGAAAGAGCGGCTCACAAACTCCTTTCCCTTCCCCTCCCCACAACAGACACCCCCGCAATGTTCCCTCTAAGCTGCGGTGTCTTGTGAGCAGAAATTCTACTTTGTGAGCTACTGGCATTAAAGTCGTGAGCCACTGCATAAATTAGTTTGCTCTGGAGCCCTCCCTTCCTGAGCTAAGACAAAAATGTGTGAGCCAGAGGCTAAAAAACTGGGCTAGCTCACACTAACTCCGCTTAGAGGGAACACTGATTTATACCCCATGGCCCTTCACTACCCAGAAGAGTCTCAGAGCAGATCACAAACTCCTTTCCCTCCCCCTCCCCACAACAGACACCCCCGCAATGTTCCCTCTAAGCTGCGGAGTCTTGTGAGCAGAAATTCTACTTTGTGAGCTACCGGCATTAAAGTTGTGAGCGAGCGATGTGGCCGCTGCGTAAATTAGTTTGCTCTGGAGCCATCCCTTCCTGAGCTAAGACAAAAATGAGTGAGCCAGAGGCTAAAAAACTGTGAGCTAGCTCACACTAACTCAGCTTAGAGGAAACACTGCCTGTGAGGTAGGTGGGGCTGAGAGAGCTCTGACAGAAACGGCTCTTTTTCAAGAACAGCTCTGCCAGAACTATGGCTTGCCCAAGGTCATCCAGCAGCTGCAAGGGGAGGAGTGGAGAACCAGGAACCCGGTTAAGTCCCCTCACTTAACCACTACACCAAACTGGCTCTCAGTTTGAGAGGGGAGGCCAGGGACCCAACTAATTCCGGGCAGTCCTCTAAACACTTCTACACTTCCACCTCCACACGACTGAGGCGGGAGGGGAAATGGTGGAAGGCAAAAGGTGAGGTGTGTTACCTGCAGATCCCTGGGTTTGGGGTTACGCCCGCACAAGACGGACAGGCCCAGCTGTGGTACGTTCCCTCTCTGGCGATGTTGAGGGCAACCTGGGATTACAACTGCAGGCGGCTAGCCATCCATACTGGGCCTCTTCGGCTTTATAGCCGACCACTGCTCTCCCAGGGTCCATTCACACACTGAGTGAGGAGAGATGCCAAGTGGTCAGTTGACGGAAGAATCTGAAGGGCAATTTCTCAGCGGCCCAAGAGGAGCCCCCCCCCCCTTGTCTCTCATGAACACAGGAACCTGTCCCTTGTATTGACTCAGACCCTTGACCCATTGAGGTCATAAGAACATCAGAGAAGCCCATGTTGGATCAGGCCAAAGGCCCATCCAGTCCAACACTGTGTCACACAGTGGCCAGAAATACCAGGTCCCATCAGAAGGTCCAGTAGTGGGGCCAGGACACTAGACGCTCTCCCCCTGTTGCCCCCCCCAAGCACCAAGAAGACAGAGCATCCCTTGCCCCAGACCGAGAGTTCCTATCTATACCTTGTGGCTAAGAGCCACCGATGGACTTCTGCTCCATATAAGAACATAAGAGAAGCCCATGTTGGATCAGGCCAATGGCCCATCCACTCCAACGCTCTGTGTCACGGTGTGGCCAGAAGCACCAGGTGCCATCAGGAGGTCCACCAGTGGGGCCAGGACACTAGGAGCCCTCCCACTGTTGAGAAAGATCCAACATTGGCTTCTCATGTTCTTTTATGGAGCAGAGGTCCTATCAGTGTCTATCAGCCACAAGGTATAGACAGGAACTCTCGGTCTGGGGCAAGGGATGCTCTTGTCTTCTTGGTGTTTGGGGGGGGCAACAGGGGGAGAGCGTCTGGTGTCCTGGCCCCACAGCTGGACCTTCTGATCGGACCTTGGACCTCCTGGTGGCCCCTGGAATTTTTGGCCACTGTGTGACACAGAGTGTTGAACTGGATGGGCCACTGGCCTGATCCAACATTGGCGTCTCTAATGTTCTTATTTTATGATCCTTTCTAAGTAGAGATGCCAGGGAATGTTGGTCCTTCTGCGTGCCAAGCAGAGGCCGTCCCACGGAGCCCCTCCCCCCACACACACACAGACAAAGACAAGCAAGTTGGCGTGGATGAATGTATTTATATTTTTATATCTACTTTAGCAAAAAAGAAAAACCCGACAAAAAGTTAAAACAGAAACGACCGCTCGGCCACGTGAACCGGGCCACGGGGCCCCACCCAGGAGAAGAGACGCGACGCCGTTCTTCAACTTCGGGGCAGGACCTTCATTTTTTAAAAAAAAAACCAACTTCCCCCCCTCCCGTATATATCCTTTAAAAAAGCCCCATGGCAGCAGAGAGGGGAAAGGAACCAAACCCACACACGGTGAGAAAGTGACTTTGCAAGTTCAGGTCCCTCCTTCCCACCTAAAGAGGTCAAAATCTCAGCAGTGTCCCCAAGCCAAAGGGGGAGGGGAGCCCCCTCCGGCTGCCGGGGGCCCCCCAAGTCACTGAGAGACTGTCCCCTCCCCGCCGGCCACCCGTGTCCCCCCCCCCCGCATGTGTGTCAGTGGCAAACCAAAGTGAGGCAAGATTCACACTTCTGTGAGTTGAGTTAAGCGAGCCCCCTGGGTGCTGAGTGGAGCCCCTTCGCCCTCCTCCGATCCCGCGTGGATTGCCCTGCCCGGACACACACACACACACACACCCTCACCGGGGCAGCGACAGCAGGGAACGGAGGGGGAGGGACACGCAAGGAGGGGGCGGCCACCAGCTGTCCATCACCATCTCTGTGGCGAGGAGTGGGAGATCCCTGTGTGCCGAATCCCGGACAAACTCTGCTGCGGCGACGAGCCAATCGAGGGAAAGAAATAAAAAGGAAGGGGGCGGGGGTGGGAGGGGGAGCGGCAGACGCGGCATCACGGGATCCCAAACTGCACGACCAGCTCTTCTTTCGCGTCCACCCGGATCTGGGAGAGCGCACTGAAGGCATAGGCGGCTATCCGAGAGACCTGGGGAGAAGGGGAAGGAAACTGTCACGAGGACGCCGGGAGTCGCTTCGTCCACCCCCAAATGAGCTGGGAGGAGACCGAGGTTGGCCGGCAGACAATCTTCTTGGTGAGGGGCACGGGGGAGGGGCAAGCGAGGAGAGAGCCAGGAAGGGGGCTTCAGCATCCCCATCCCCACCCACCAGTTGAGAAGGTTGCCTGGATCAGACCAGGGAGGATCCACCTAGTCCAGCCTCCTTCCTCACACAGGGGCCAGCCAGTTCCTCTTTAGGGCCAACAACAGGGCAGAGAGGCCGAGGCCTTCCCCTGACAAGAACCTCAGAAGGGCCCTGCTGGGTCAGACCAGGGAGGGTCTATCT